TTATCATTAGGGTTGCTGGTTCAGATTGGCACGTTGTGACAGCTGTGGGGTTACTTCTGCTACGGCAGCCATAGCCAGGGGTATGAGGTGGTGAGGAGGAAGAAGAAGACTCCTGCATACTTCGTTGAACACTTGTTTTTGGTTGTTCAGAGTTGTTGCAAACGCGGTTGTGATTCTTGGAACAAGTACTCTGGATTGATTGGAGGAGGACGAGGGATTGCAGGATTGAAATTCGTTTCTCAATTCTGTGTGTTTTGAGCTTCCGCTGTGCATATCTTCTCTTCGGTTTTGTGTGGATTTGCCTCCTTTGAGTCTACTCTGGAATTGCATGCGTGTATGGGAATGTGTGAATTCGTTGTGGATTGAAGTTCAATCGGGTACATAACACATAGATGTATAGTATTTGTATACATCTATTCCAGGTGGGCCATCTGAAGCATCCGAGTTCGGTCCAAAGGAGAACATCTCCAGGAATTTTTTGTACTATGGACCATGGACAGTGATCAATGGCATAGGCACGATCTGTAGGGTCCCACTTATGTCATTGATGTTCCCCATCACCTTTGTACTTACCTACCGTCTTCACCCGCATAGAATGCACGGTCATTATCGCTGCACGCATCTGGCCCGAAAGTTGTACCAAATACAGCTATAATGACCGGGTGCTCTATTCAGGTGAAGACGGTAGTTTTCCATGCATCCAAACTGTCACCTTTCTCTACCAACGATCAGTCGTCAGTTTCCCTCGTGACGATCAATGCTACTGACCTCTATAAATGGATACTTACACAGTTTTACACAGTTTTACACAGTTTTCCATGCATCCCAACGGAGTCATTTTGCCGAGTTCCTTCAACATGGTTATCTCATGCGCCTTAGTATACCCTACTTGTTCACCTGTGTCCGTTTAGGGTACGGTTCTGTAATTTGCTACCTTTCTCTACCGACGATCAGTCCTCTATTTCATTCGTGAAGATATGTCACTTGCAACCTGTGTCCGTTTGGGATACTTACATAGTTTCCGCGTATCCAAACTGTTTTCCATGCTTCCAAACTGTTACCTTTCTCCACTAACGATTTCCCTCGGGAAGATCAATGTTACTGCCTTCTATGAATGGAATACATTGACATGAAATCCTTTGCGAAACTTCGATATATGCCAGTGCCTAAGCCACTAGGCAGAAGACAGCCGCTTGAGCCCAAACTGCAGCACAAAAAATAAGCTCAGACAGCGTGTGGACCCCACGCAAGGATCTGTGGTTTACGAGAGAGAAGCTGATGCAGACTGAACCCCAGGTCGTGACCAAATATGAGAGAGCCCTCGACGGAAAGCACCAGCAAGAGTGAAGTGTAAGTGTATCTCAAAGGGCTTCAAGCGGGTGGGACTGCAGGCCCCGTGGGCCTCACGGCAGATAAGAGTGGTACGGCCAGTAGGTCCCAGGTTCTGTTCAAATTGATTTCAGGTCCTGGGTTCAAATGGATTTTATTTTTTCCTTTTCTTTTTTTTTTTCTTTTCTTTTTCTTGAGAAACATTCAAATGGATTTCAGGTCCGGTAACCGCAGAAAGGGACCTCGAAGTCACTATCTGGGATACAGTAAGGTACGGCACAATCCGCAAGGGAAGCAGCACCAGGTGGTCAATCAGGGAGCCTCATAGCGGTCAGGCGCTGAGGAGGAAGACAACCAGCACCAAGGTGAACGGCGCGCTGAGGGAAGAGACCGCCGCCATAGCTGACCCAGGGGTGTGAGATAGAAAAGGCGGGGAGGAGGTCCTTGGGGTAGAGAAAGCCAGCACGGAGAGGAGACCGACGTGGTGCATACCTGGTAGACATCGAGGAAGGGCTCCAACGCGACTTGTTCTTCAAGTGGACATCAGTGGCAGAACAGCACAGAACTCTGCAGCATGGTTTATGGTGTAGTCCGTCCAGGTCAGGATACCAGATAGAGTAGGAGGTCATAAGATGCTAGGAGAGGGACCAGCAAGAGTCAAGCAGTGCTACTATCGTTGTTCTATTGATTATTGGACGGCGAGAAGGGGGGTTATCATCAGCACGATACTTCAACGTTCTGTTCTTGTATTGGTGTAATCCTTGCTCTGTCGAGTCTGTTTCCAGTCTGGCTACCATATATGAAAAACTGTATGTCACTCGTGTCACACTGTACCAGGATTCTATTAGAAAAACAACGACGGATTATAAACTAAACCCCCGCTAGTGGGGCTTTGCAACTGGGCTTTCGAGTCTGTTCCCATGTTGATGAATTCCCGCGCGGGAATTCGTCCTCATAAACCCAAAACCTCGGCAACATCGATGGTCCCTTCCGCTCCCCATGGTAACTCCATGGAGGAGAGGAGACCACATAACGAAAAAGGCAACATCGATGGTCCCATCGTTTACTTCGTCCTGTGCTTCTTCGCCTTCCTCTTGCCTTCCTCAGTCCATAGACATAGGCCATGACCAGAGGCGCTCAAGTCGATGGCTAAGGCCTCGCGAAATCTAAAACCCACGACCCCCCGACGTAACTTAAGCCATCAACGGAGGGAATCAAGCGAGGCCATACCCGACGTAACTTAAGCCATCAACGGAGGGAATCAAGCGAGGCCATACGTAACTTAAGCCATCAAAGGAGGGACTCAAGTCGATGGCTATAGCTGCGCAAACTCTACTTCCCCATACCTGCCGCCTAATCGAGCGAGATCGTACAACATTGAGACAGACACACGATGGCTACTAAGGCCTCGCGAACTCTAAAACCCCACACCTACCGTCTAATAACGAAAGTTATCAAGCGAGGCCATGCGTAACTTAAGCCATCAACGGAGGGACTCAAGTCGATGGCTATAGCCGCGCAAACTCTACTTCCCCATACCCGCCGCCTAATCGAGCGAGATCGTACAACATTGAGACAGACACACGATGGCAACTAAGGCCTCGCGAACTCTAAAACCCCACACCTACCGTCTAATACAGAGATATCGTTCTACATCCTTATTAATAACCGATCATGTGGATAGCCGATCACGTTGATGGCCGATCGCAATCAACATAGAGATAGACTCAAGGGGATAAGTCGAGGATAAGAAAGCAACACAACCCGACAAAACCCTTCACTGAACGCGCGCAAATAATCACCCTCACCCTCGCACCCCCACATCGCAAGGATAGCGACGATCTGCACCAGCCTCCGATTGACGTGCTCAGCCGCCGCCCACATAGAATGCCCGGTAATTATCGCTGTTTCTGGACTGAAAGTTGCCCCAGATACAGATATACTGACAGGGCGTTCTATTCGGGTAATGACGATAGGCATTCACTACCTCGTTACGATGTCCACCATCATAATCAGCAGCAGCGGCAATGTGAACTTCAATCTCATCAACATGAACACGGATCACCGACCGCCCGAAGGCATCAAACTGAGGTACTCATTTGTCTCGATCCGATAACACCGCCAACGGCCGCCACGTGTCATCGATCGTCTCAGTTGAGAAATGTTCAGAGCACAGGCCTGCTTTGAACACCACTCTAATTTTTTCCAAGTAACAGAGTCCGACCGGCTAGGTCGGGCGTACTAGCGAGCTATTCTCCAGTTTGTGGTTGGATATGTTTTCTTGGTTTTGTTTATTATATTATACACGGCCTAATTCTTTGCCCTGCTTTAGAGCATGGGCGGCTTGGATGTCTATGGGTTGCCACACGATTTTTGGGGGGGGCAATGTATGTTTTGTGGGCCGGCGCGGAAGGGTTGGGTGCGGGCCATAAAGGCAACGAATGCATCCCCGGCAAGAAAGGCGAAAGGGCCAGTACACACCCGCAAGAGCGGACCGACCCCTCCCACCCATAACACGTGTTGCCCCGTCCGATATGCATCACACGACCAAGTGCCGCCGCGTGGCATCGATCCTCTCTCTACCCAGGAGGTCCGCCACTCGCTCTCCGTACTCCACCGTCGCATTCCCGACAGGATCGAAATGCCAATCCCCGTTCACTTCACACCCTCTCGCACACCAGCCGATCCCTCTCGCACACCAGCCGATCCCTGACCCGCCCGCCTCCTACGCGATGTTCTCCCTTCCGTTTTCCATTTTCCCTCTCTCCTTCTCCCTCTCTCCTTCTTCTCCCTCTCTCCTTCTCCCTCTTTCCAGAGCGAGAGGGTTTAAAGAACGAAATACAAAAGAGATTGCCACGATGTTGTGCATCTTGACAGACAAACCCCGCCGCTCATTCCTTTCCTATTTTATCTCCATTCTTTTACAGGGCGCGATATTTACTATGACCAAGCACATTTCGACGAAAGAAAACAATTACTTCAGCGGAATGAATGCACACGATCCGTCTGTCTTTTCCTTTCAGGATTGCGGGAGCGAGGTCGGGTGGAGGGCACGTCGCCATGGTCAGCGGACCTACGGTAGACTTTTCTGCAGTCGACAGAGGAATCCGTTCGTCAAGACATTGACCAGAATGTGTCTGGTTGTTTCATCATCATTTTCAGCTTTGGACCTTCAGACGAGACCGACAGTAGACTTTCCTACAACGAGGACGACGATGACGACCACGACCACAATCGCCACCACGAGGAAGACCGATCAAAATCAACATGATGGCGCCAAATGACCCAAGAAGGCCAACTCTCTACCCCTCGGCAATTACCACCCCCGCCCCACCCCACCCAACCGCACCCCACCCGCTCCCYCTCCTCCTCTCCAAGGGTTCCTGTGCATGCCATCGTGGCCGTCTCACGTGCGCCTCACTCTCCTCCCTCCCCCCCCCACTTTTCCCTTCTCCGTCGACATCTCGACCGATCCAATTTGATAAGAGCGTTTTCCATCTTGCTTTTCTTAGGTCGATTCATTTTCTTCCTTGCAGGCAGGTTCAAATACGCTTGCCCTTCTTCCCATGCACGCACATTCGTGTACACCTGTGTGCGTGTTCCCTGTTCTTAACCCCACGACTTCCCCTCCCTCCCTCTCCCACGGGTGATCCTGCCAGGTTTCCACTTACTTCCATTCTGCCCGGTGATGAAATTCACCCGCGTGTTGAACTCCATTTCCAGATGCGCATGGCACATGAAATTTTCCACACGAATTTTGAGCACCACTCCCGCATTCTCGTTTGCGTCCGTCAGACTGCCGTTCGCCACCGCCGTCGCCATCTCCTTCAACTCTCGCAGCAAGCGCGCCACAGACGATGCCCTCCCTCCTGTCCTAGCTTACGTCTCGCTCCACTACTCTAGAAACCGGCCATTTCTTGAGCGCTCCACTACTCTAGAAACCGGCCATTTCTTGAGCGCGGAACCGCTCCACTTACTCTGGACGCCAGGTCTGGCATTCGGTTTCTTGAGTATCTACTCACGAAAATGACGAGAATCCGTCGTCGCTCCACTACCTCATGAAACACGCTCACGAAAATGCATTCCTTGAGTAGTCAGAACCTCCTCTCCCGTGGCACTCCCGACGATTCCAGAGCGCCCGCCAGCAGCGGCGGGAATTTTTTTATTTTTTTTTTCATTCATTTCAAAATACCATCACGAGGCAGTAAGTGGAGCGAGTATCCAGCGGCCTAGCTCAGTTGGTAAGGCACGCAAGTGTCATTCAGGAGGTCTTGGGTTCAATCCCCATTGGCCTCATGTACCTTCCTGGCAAAGCTTGGCGCCCACCACCTAGAGATATGCCGTTGGTCCCCCCGAGTGGCAGTCCCTCGGCAGTTCATCCTCCACTGCTTCCAGGGGCAGCAAAAGCGTAAGTAACTGGCGCAGGACCGGTCGCAGCAGTTAACTGTCTACTCCTCAGTATACTCGTGTGATTTGCCTATGGAACCCACCTGCATCGTGGTCACCCGCCACCAAAAATGCAACACCTTGACACAAACGTCATGCCCAATATATCGAGCCTTAGAGCTGAGATTAACATTTCTCGACTACTACCTCCCCTATCTGCAGGCGATCCGAGATTCACTTGTCTACTGAGTGGGCGCAAGGAACGCAACCCTAACGTAATCAAAGCAATGGGTCTAAACGCATGCACAAGAGAGAGAGAGAGAGGGGGGGCACTACCAAAGGGAGAGAGAGAGAGAGAGAGGCCTACCAGAGAGAGAGAAAAAAAAAAA